GGGCAAGGGAGTGGAGAGCAGATGCTGGCACGGCCTCCCTGAGCCGTCATTCAGCAGCCTGGTGACTTGGGATGACAGCCAGGAAGTACTGTCTCTTTAATATACTGGGACGAGCCTGAGGCTCAGAGAGAGGAGGAGACTTGCCTGAGGTCACACAGAGGGTCAGTGACAGATCTGGACATCCCCATCTCGATCTCACAGCGCCACCTGGGGCCTAATGGGAAGCTGTCTAGGTGGCAGGAAAGCCCCAGGAGCAAGAATAATGAGCTTCATGGCCCAGAGCACTGGCTTTGGAGGTGGCTGGGCCTGCGTTGGACCCCATCTCTGCTTGTCTCCTATTGTGTGACTGTGGGCTGGTGACTCTCTAGGCCTCTGTTTCCTCAGGTGTCAGTGATTAGCACACAGCAAGTGCTCCAACAGGTAACTAACTAGTAGTCATCATCTTCCTGGCTTTGCCACCAGACAGGTAGGTGCCCTCAGGCAAGTCAGTGCCTTTCTCTGGACCAGTTTGCCCATTTCAAACATAAAAGAATTCGATTGGGTAATAGTTAAGGGCCATTTCCAGTCTGACACACTGTAAATTTGTGACTCAATAAATTGCCCCAAGTCAAGAAAAGGTGAGGACTATAACAATAATCCTATCTAATAAAAGAGTGATATGCAAATTGACCATCACTCCAATACACAAGATGGCTGACTCCATGTGGTCAAAGATGGCTGCCCCCATGTGGACACAAGAAGGCCACACAAGATGGCCAGCAGGGGAGGGCAGTAGGGAGGGACCAGGCCTGCAAGGGGGGCAGTTGGGGGCAATCAAGCCTGTAGGGGAGGGCAGTTGAAGGGGACCAGGCCTGCAGAGGAGGGCATTTAGAGGCAATCAGTCTGGCAGGGGAGCAGTTAAGCATCAATAAGACTGGCAGGGGAGTGGTTAGGGGGTGACCAAGCTGGCAGGCAGAAGCAGTTAGGGACAACCAGGAAGGCAGGCAGGTGAGCAGTTAAGAGCCAGCAGTCCTGGATTGTGAGAGGGATATTCCTTGAGGGGTCCCAGATTGTAAAGGGTGCAGGCTGGGCTGAGGGACACATACCCTTTTGCACAAATTTCGTGCACTGGGCCTCTAGTATAACAATAATCATTCAACCATATACTGAGTGCCTACTGTGTGCTGGGAACTGCTTGATGCCAGCCCTTCTCATGTCACATTTACAATACTATAACAGCCCCTGCTGGTCTCCTGGCTTCCAGTTTTCTCTCCTTCAATGCACCTTAGCTCTCTTAAGCCCTACTTCACTCTTATGCTCCAGCACACTCAGTGGCTCTCCAGTTCCCTCCAACCCCACCACCAACAAGTGACGTCTAATTCCATGCTCAGGCCCTGCTGTCTTTAGTGGAATCCCCTATAAACTGTATTGTCTCTTTGTCTAGACTTCCCTGTGCCTCAAGCTCAGAGATACTCACTAAACATTCGTTGAGTGAATAAACACATGGGTGAAATGCTTCTCTTAAATTAGAACATTCAAACTTTCAGTCATTTGCAAACCAGTTACAGAGGTTTTGCAAAAGTCTGTGCACTGTGTCTATTTTTATTTACTTAAATATTTCCTTTTTTTTTTTTTTTAGATTAAATAGATGTATCTCAAAAGTTACATTATTCTATAACTAGATAATCAGTATTACTTGTGAGAATAGGTCTCCATTAAAATGAATACAAGGACAAATGAGCAATGCATTCAAGTGTAACTAGATATTGTTGTCTACCAAGGCTAGAGTCCTCCTTAGTGCTTTATGTTAAAGATGTTAAAGACAAATTAGTACCAACTTGAGACTTGCTCATGGACAGAGATCACAAGGATGATACAGGATGATGAGTATGAAAGAGCTTTTGCATGCCAAGTTATTCCACTACACTGAAAATTACCTTTGTTACCAGCAGTGGTTGTCAGCCCATATTTTAGGAACCCATCACTCTAGCCCAGTGGTCGGCAAACCCATTAGTCACCAGAGCCAACTATCAACAGGACAATGATTGAAATTTCTTTTGAGAGCCAAATTTTTTAAACTTGAACTTCTTCTAACACCACTTTTTCAAAATAGACTCGCCCAGGCCGCGGTATTTTATGCAAGAGCCACACTCAAGGGGCCTAAGAGCCGCATGTGGCTCGCGAGCCAGTTTGCCGACCATGGCGCTAGCCTATGGAGAATGCATGTGAGTTCTCCGATACAGCGGTAGCCAACTGGTAGTCCTCGGACCACTGGTGATCCGTGAGGTCCAAAAGGCTGGTGACTGCTGCTCTGGAAGACTTTAACCTGGGTTTTCAGGAAGGATACAGGGCCCTTGCATGCAGCCAGCTCAGCTTCATAGTGTAGTGTGCCTTATCTAAGCCCCAATGCAATTTTTAGAACTCAGCCACCTTAAGAGTTGGTTGAAACTATTTGCCTGGTAGAATAATGAAGTCCCCATCATTGGAGATGTGCAGACAGATACTGTTAAGTCATGGGGCAGTGGGCAGGGAGCAGAGAATCTTGTGGAGATAATCCCAGCATCAAATAGTCAGCCTATGAAATTGACCTGACAGCCAGAGTTTGCTTTCATATGTAGGCAAAACACATGCAGAGCAATGAAAATAGAGAGGGATTAGTTTCTGATCAGGAATACAGAAAAAAAAAATAGACAAATTGTGTGTGAGGTTGTTCAGGAAATCTGAAGAAAGGAAGGCGTGTGGCAAGATGATTATTATTCCTTTAACTAATGCTTCTTATTTCTTAATCCAGTACCGGATTCATCGGGACTATTTTTGGTTTTAAGCCACATAAAATGAATTCAGACTTGCATAAGAGACAAAAAGGAACTGAAGGACATTTACGTAACTGAATGCCTTCAGGCATGGCTGGATCCAGGGACTCATCAGGCCTTCGTCTGCTCCATCTCTTAGGTCTGCCTTCCTCTACGATGGCTTCATCCTCAGGTAGGTCTTCTCAAGATGTGACAAGACAGCTGCTAGCAGCTGCAGGCTGAGGAACCACGGCAGAGATCAAGCTTCTGTTTGGCAATAATTTTAGCAAAAACCTCAGAGAGAGCTCTCACTGACCCAGCATATACCAACTAAGGTCATGGTAATGTGCCCTGGCTGTGCCCGCCCACCTCTGGAGGGAGGGAAACCCCCTCAAACATACAAATGTGAGTGGGGGAGGGGAAGTTCCTTACATCAAAACTGAGGTGCGATCACTTAAAGACGTTGAAATGGATACCAGGCAAGCAAACATAGCTTCCATCATCGTTAGCTTCATATCCTTGCTCAGAGCTGTGCCCCACATCTCCATTCAGAAGGCTCCTAGTCATCCTTTGGGCCACAAAAGGCTCAAATGGTACTTTTTTGAAGAGACCATCCCCGGCCATCCCGAATTGGATTGGGAGCTCCTGATATATGTGCTCCTTGCAGATCTTGTCACCCTGGGCTTGTGTGATTACCTGCAAAAGCCTGTCTTCCATGTTGGTCCAGGCCACCTTGAGGTCAGTGGCCTGTCTGTCTTGTCCAATGATGTGTCTCCAGAGCCTAGGACAGTGCCTGGCAAGTAGAAGGAGCTCAATCAATATTTCTGTGAAGAACTAGTGGAGGTCACAAAGGCCCTGGTGACCGGTGAGGGGGAAGGAATGGGTGGGTTAAGAAAGACATAAAGATTTCATGTATGTGGTTTAGAGTGTAGGGAAAGAGACAAGACAGAGGAGCATTGTGTGTTGTGGGAGCCTGGGATGGATGATCAGAGTGTGGGGCAAGGTGGTGCTGGGGGGTGGGGGAGTGCTAATTAGCAAATGCCAGCCCTGGGGACAGAGGGAGGAAAAGAAGAGTAGATCCAGGCTGGAGAGAAGGAATCTTTTCTGTGAGTCCTCAGGAGGCCCAAAGGGGAATGCAGTTATGACTCCACTCCCAGGAGCATTTGTGAAAGAAAGAAGTGGTAAGGACTTAGCGAAGGGGAAGAGAAGGCGTCCTTAGGCACTAGACTGGGGTTGGCTGGGAGAAAGGCTTCTCTGGGACCATCGGTCAAACCTCAGGAGCTAGAAAGAGGAGCGTGACGTGGGATTCTGCCGTCGTCCCTGGGTGTTTTTCCCAGGCTGTGTTTTCCTTTTCTGTCATCTGTTTATCCATCTGTCCATCCACACACACTGCCATTTGTGTCTCCATGACCAACCCCTGGCAGCAGACAGGGCGTCCTTCCAACCTTCCCCTCCCTACCACAGGCACACACCCAGCCTGGTCTCACGAGGCTGTCAGCTCCAGATCAGAAGCTGTGTTCCCCTTGCAACCGGCGGGAAGGCTGCTGGGGGGCAGAGGGAGGTGGGGGGGTGAAGAGAAGGGGCAGGAGCCCACCCCACACCCATACTGAGGGCCCTGTAACCCACAGAGAAAGAGGAACAAAAAGGACAGACCAACCGAAGCAGCCCTGCAAGGAAAACCCAAGAGAGAAATCAACCCATGGTAAAAAGGACTGGGAGGCTGCGATCAAGACAGGCTGAGGACCCAAAGCCAAAGCGGGGAAGAGGGCAACAGCCTGGAGGAGAAGGAAAGAGTGAGAGGAGGGAGAGAGAGGGCAGCCAGCCAGAGACAGAAGAGAGGAAGTGGGGAGGGGGGAGAGCGAAGGAAAAGAGCGAGGAGAAGCTGGGACGATGTGGAGGGGAGACGTGGAGGGGGAATGGGAGAAAGAGGCAGGATGGAGAGGAAAGGAAGGCGAGAAGGGGTGAGGAAAGGGCGAGGGCTGCGGACAGAGGCATTGCGGGGGCAGCCGGAGGGAGGGCGGCGGGCCTCAGCGGGGCCAGGGGAAGGGGGTTGGGGGGAGGTCGGGGGAGGCGGACGGGGAGGGGGCGGAGCGGCGGACCAAGCCCCTCCCCGGGGGCGGGCTCCTGAGCGGCCACGCCCCCAAACTCCCCGCCCCTCCGCCGCGTCCCCCGCCCCCGTCCCCGCGCTCCGCCGCCCGCCCTCGGAAGACCCAGCGCGCGGCGAGGTTGCGGGCGAGCTGCGCGGAGCGAGGAGGCGCGGAGCCGAAGCGCACCGGCGAGGCCGAGCGGCCCGCGCAGCCCCGGCCGCAGGTAGGAGGGAGGCCGGCGTCGGGGCGCGGGGCGCAGACACCTGGACGGCCCGGGGCCCCGAGCTGCCGGCGCCGCGGGCCCGACGGGGTGGGCGGTCACCCGGAGGTGCCGAGCCCCGCACCTCGCCTCGGGCCACACGAACCAGCCGGGGCGCCGCTCTGCCCGTCGACGCACCTGCTGGCCTTTCCCCGGGGAGGCTCGGGGCGCCGCGCAGGGCGGTGGGGAGGGGGCGCAAGGGGGGGGGGTGGAGAGAGGGGCTCGCGGGCGAGTCCCCGGAATCACATGCCGTTTCCCCGTTCGGGCCCCTCGGACTCCCGGGCTGGTGTTGGATATGCTGGAGCCGTCGAAGCGTCGCGTCCATTCCCTAAACGGGGGCGGGGTGGGGGGGGGGGGGAGTTGCGAGAGTGAATGCTTGGGGGACCGGGAGCCCCTTTTCTGGCTCAGGGTCAGCTGCGTAGAGAGAAATCCATGCCCCTCATTTTTTATTTTTTTTCTCTCTCCAAGGGCTAAGGAGGCCAGCAACTTGGGGATGGGACACCTCCTTCCAAGCCCAGGGCAGCTCCAGCTCTCAGGAAATGCTGGCCAAAAATGTGCACCCCACAGCCTGGGCTGAGCGCGCACAAGCCCTGCTGCTCTCCCCTGTCCTGTTCCCTGGCGGGTGTGGGGTGAGGAGGCTGCACCCCAGGTTTAGGGAACTGTGTCCCCTTGCCACCGCGGGACTGCTCTCACCTTGCCTTGTGTCCTGGCGTTTCCTGCCTGGGGATGGGGAGAAGAGGCAACTGCCTGCCTGCTGGGGTTACCCCCGAGGCAAAGACCATCAGGTCTCCCTGTACCCCACATCCCCACGGTGGCACCCACGGATGCCCTGTGGTAGTAGCTTGGCTTGATCTTCAGGCAAGGAGCTCAGACTTGCCAGCTCCCCCTGAGGGTCTGAGCCAGTATTCTCCCCAAATAGATGAGACCCCCAATGAGGAAATCGGATTTTAAAACACCAAATAGCACCACCCCGTGTCTTCCTAACGCGAAGCTGGAGCTTCACCTTCCTCTCTTAGGAGGCACGGGATAAATGGCTTCTGGGCTTTGGTGACACCCTCGAAACCAGAGACTGCCGGACTTTGGGACTGACCTTCATTTTCCTGTGACACACGAGGTGGGCGCTTGGTGGCAGCGCAGTCGCTGGGTGCCAGGTATTGCCTCGCTTCTGTCTTGGGGAAATTTGGGGGGGAAATGTATTCATAATGGAGCCTGAAAAGACTACCCCAACTCCCAAATTCCAGAACAAAGGAGGTCAGTGGGACTGAGGCTTGGTGCACCCTCTGTCTCTCTCTTTGGAGCAAGGAGTGGGAGGGGCCTTTTCCCAGAGCAACCAGGGCAAAATGGCTGAGCCTCCTCTTAGCCTCAGAAATAAATTGTAAGGCAGGCAGCAAACAAAGGAAGCGCGCCGCTCTCCCTGCGGCCGAGCACGGGCTCGGTAGCCAGCCCTTGAAGGACAAACAGTGAGTTCAGCGGGACATACAGCGTGGCTTGTCTGGCGGGGCATCCCGAGAGGGTGAGGCGATCCCTGAGAACCACACAGGAGAGAGGCAGCTGCTTGGGGAGAGCAAGCAGGACCCGTCTCTTCTAACGTGTGACGCTCCACACCGGGGCTGGAAGCGTGGTGAGAAGTAGGTCCCTCGGGAACTCCAGGTGGGGCTGGGAGGGGCTTCTGGAGGCCAAGGAGTAGGCCACTCCGAGGGTGATGACAAGGACAGAAAACCACGTCCACCCAGGCTGAAAGAAGCACGCCCGCTCTGCTGCTCCCGGGATGGCACAGGCCTGGCAGCCAGGAGCTCCAGGGCTATGCGTGTGTTTATGCGTGGCCCAGCACACAGCTGGCGCTCAATACGTGTCTCATTCTAGCCAGCATGGGTGGAAGGTGAGGACAGCACGAGCATGGGCCTACCTATCATATATTCTAGTGTCATGGAGCCAGGAAGGCTATGAAAAGGTAGCTGCTGAGACCACCACCAGGAATGAGCCCTGGGTGGGTTGGCTTTGCGCTGAGTGAGGTGCTGCCACTTCCTGGCTGGGTGACCTTGAGTGAGTTCCCGTCCCTGCTGAAGGGAAGAAATGGAGTGTTGAAAGCTCTCCATGTGCCCAGCTTATAATTCCTGCAATAACCTTGTGCAGCAGGTACAGTTCTGACCCTCCGATGCAGAGGGGAGGAAACTGCGGTTCTGAGAGGGGAAGCGACTTGCCCAAGGTCACACAGCTAGAAGGAGTGGTGGGGGGCAGGAATGTGAACCCTGCTCTTCTAGTTTGCCAGCCAACATGTGTCTCACTGCTGAGTCTCTAGGCCTAGGTTTTCGCCTCCTTAAAGTGATGTGGTTAGGTGATGGTTGAGGGATTCGGTGATTGACAGTGAGGCCCCTTAGGCCTGCCATCAAGCTGCTCCTCTCCCTTCCTGGCGTATGCTAAGAGCAACATTAAATGAAGCATACGTGGCAAGCGGCTTCTTGCCATCTCACAAAGACACTTCCTAACGGTGGAGATAGAGATTACCCAAACCACTTGGCATTTGGACACATCTTATCCCCCCTCTGTGGCTCGTGTACGCATCCCACGCTGAGTGCCGACCCCTATCTGTTAAGCCTTGCTTGCCGCCTTGAGCACCCAGTATCCCGACACACGCCCCCTCTGTCCTTGGGAGCAGTGAGGAGGCCCAAGCCTGTCCCTGTCACCTCGCCCGAGGTGTGCCCAGCCTCAGGCCTGCCTTTGCCTGCATCAGAACTGCCCCTTCCACCCACCCCAGCTTCTCTGTGCCCAGGGAACGGTAGGCAGAACACAGCCATTGGCACAATGGAAACAACTTTGAATTGGCTCCAGATGCAAAGAGCAGGCTTCTCAGGGAGGAGATCGATCATCAGACCTTTGTCCACTGCCCCGCGGCGGTCCTCGGCTCTGGCTCCTCCTCACAGGGCCCCGTGGCGGCAGCCTTTTCTGTCACCTTTCCCTCCTTCTCTGAAGGTCACTGGGAGCTGGAGGGGAAACGGTGGCACTTAAGAGAGGAAAAGGGCAGGAGGCCAGATAATGGACCCAAAAATAAGGCTTTCCAGGAAATGTGCTCCAGCATGTTCCCCCGGAGCTCACCTGGAGCCTCGGGAGGAGGGGAAGGGACTTGGGAGTGAGTGGGAAGCCGGCGAACAGCAGAGACAAGGGTTGCCTGGCATAGACGGTAGGTGTGAATGCAAGCTGTGATGTTTCAGCGCAGGCTCGGGATTCAATCATAAACAGAAAAAGAAAAGAAAAAAAAACCCACTCAATGTTTTTCCAACGACAAGATCATAGATGACAGTAATGACTAACAGCTGATGATCTGCCAAGGGATGTGCTGTGTACTTTACTTAAATTATTGCATTTAATTTTCACAAAACCCTATGAGGCACGTACCGTAGTAGAATTGCCCCTGTACAGATGAAGAAACAGATGAGAGAGGTTAGGGTGCTTACTGCAGCCTCACTGGGCTTCTAAATGGCCCTGGACCCCAACTCAACCATCACCTAAAAGCCCCTGGTTTTGTCACTTAGCACGGACCTCAACTCCCCATTCAAGGAGCTGCACAGCTAGCAAGCTTTTCCCCATTCCTTTTCCTTCAGTGGAGTTTTCCCACAGCTCAAAGGGGCTGATGGCTTGACAGCATCTGTTTTCTGCTTAATAATGGGAAGCTGAGGCCTAGAGATGATGGGTTTGTGCCCAGCATCCGTCAGCTGCTAAGTTGCAGAACTGGAATTCACACTCAGGTGCCCAGCCTATTACAACATATTTGTAACCTAATCTTTAAATTCATTTAAAGCTCGGGTTGACAATTGTGCACCCAGCCATCTTTCCTTCATTCTTAGGTGTCCCCCAATTTGTCATCTGCTTCTCGCGGCTCTGGAAGCCGGAGAGCGGCCGACAGAGCCATCAGCTCTGTTTACCGTGATCAGACATGACACAAAAGTGGCATCCGATTTGATGCGAGCTGCCTGCAGCGAATGGCCTTCTATTTTTACATTTCTCACAAATTGGAAATTACAAGGAGGCCAGGTCTTGCAGAACGATTGGCTGTGGTGCTCGGAAAGCAGGGTGTGTGTGGCTAGGTGGAACGAGCCACATTCAGGGTCCAAGGGCCTTCTTGGGCTTGACTCTTGGCAAAAGGGCCTCCCAGCTCCCAGGGCCAGATGGGATCCTGGCATACGGGCCAGGCTGGAGGATGCTGCCTCGGACAGTGACCTGCAGCTCTGCCCACCTGTCCAGTGCGTAGTGTCTGCAAGATCAGTGTCACATGCCAGCTCCTGAGATAACTGAGCTCTGGCCAGAGGGACATTCAAAGTCAAAGATGCCCCGAAAGACATTGACAGCAGGTAGCTTTCCTGGCCTTATTGTTTGGTAAGGAGGTTCTGTGCAGGGAGAGGGCAGCATCCACAAGGAAGTGAGCAATAATATTAGGTACCAGGACTGCCATTTGCTGGCACGTAGTGCTTATAACAATACTAGTGGCCCAGTGCACATTGGAATAAAATTAATTAGAAGGTGGCCAGTGGGGTGAGACTGGGTGAGGGGCCTGACACGCCCTGGAGCTAACCTCCCACAGTCCCAGGGGCAGCGCTGGGACTCAGAGGACATCTGTGGTCACCACAGCTCAGCAATAAACCAGATTTAGAGCCTACCATGTCCCAGCAACAACATAACCCACACCCTGCTGAAGGTGGAATCGCACTCCCTTCTCTCTGGTTCTGGGGTGTGTCACCCAAGAACTGCTGCTGCCAAGTCACCACAGCTCAGCAACTCCTGCGTTGAGTGTCTGCCCCCTGGTGCTCAATGCTCGTCATGCCTACCAGATGATCGGATGGTTGGACAGTTGCCTTTTACTAATACACACACACACACACACACACACACACACACACACTAGGAGCCCAGTGCACAAATTCATGCACCTTGAAAGGGACTGTGGGACGCAAGGCTGTGGTGGCACAGGA